CAGGGTTCGTACAGTCTTGAAAAGTCCTTGATTTTTGAGCTAGGTCCTTGAAAAGTCCTTGACTGCAAATTTTCCTTGAAAAGTCCTTGAATTTGGAGGAAAGGTCCTTGAAAATGATAATTTAGTCCTTGAATCAGTCTTGGTTGTTCTAAAGTAATGTTTTGGGGATCAATTTAGCCAAGCTTTAAAGCAAAATGACAAGTATTCAATCCTTTTTGCGAGACTTGCTGTACTGTTGTACAATATGGCGGCCAAGAAATTAATAGAGATTGAGGGGAATTTTCTCCAAAAGAAAAAGTTCTTAAAAAATTTGACTGCAGTGTTAGTAAGTTTACTAACTGTATTTTTCTCTTTGTAATTGGAGTCCTTCAATATTGAAAATAAATTCTTAAAAAGTCCTTGAATTTTGTATGAACAAATCTGTACGAACCCTGTTTGAAGCTAGTTACCTTGATTTTTATCTCGAAAAAGAAAGAAGTAACAATTATAGAGTGGATTTCATTAGTCAAAGTGTAATGCTGCATGATACACTAAAAAGACAGAAGAAAATCAGGCAAAATAAAGACAGGACAGGAAAGATAAAAGAAATATAAAATGATCATAATAATTTGTAGAAATTACTACGGCGCAATTAGAAATCACTAAACTGAGAATATGCAAATAATTAATGAATCAACGGTTTGCATATCGACATATACAGAAGGCGAGAACTAAAGAAAAAAAAAGGAATTCAAGGGTACATCGAAAAGCATAATAACAGTAACATAAAGCTAACAAACATAAAAGAACAAACAAAAAAATCAACTTTCTTTTGTCTTCATCTATTTTATTCCCTAAATTTCAATCCCCTTATGAGTTTCTGAGTGTGTTTCACGGGTTAATGAAAACCACTCTATGCGTATTCCTTTGTATAATCCATACCAATTTGCGATATTTTATTTAGCACTGTTTCAATAGTGCCGGTGCGTGCTGCACTATGAGCATAAGATCAAAAAAGACTTACGGATGAAAATGATGAAGATAAAAGGAAGTTTTTTTCTGTTTATTCTGGTCTTGTGTTTAAATAGCTTAATATGTACTTCATTCAAGTTTCTTTCTCGGCTTGAAGCCGACATAACCATAGCAACAAGAATCACTTCGTGAAACATACCGGGTCCAGGTTACGGTGATATATTCTTTATTCTTTTACCAGCGCCGCGATCGATTTGATAGATTTTGCTTATGATCTTTTCACATTTTTTTATATATTTTATCATTGCAGCGAAAATTTTGCATTCGCATTATCCTCAGAGAATATACTGTAGGATGAAAGTTTGCTTTACATAAAATGATTTTAGAAAGAAAAAAAATAACGAGTGTATTTTAAAGTTAAAGAAAGAAAGAAAAAAAAATTGAAGCTGCTCGATCGAGTCGAACCCGAGAGCGTCAGTTCAACGCCGCTATTCAAGAATGATCTTGCAAGTAAAATACACCTACTTGCAGAAACGTTGTCATAGAAAATAGACTAGAACATTTGAATTTAGTAAAAGGGATAAATTAAAACAAGACAAAAGAAAGCGTTCAGCCTCAGTGATCTTCTTTTGTCTTGTTTTAATTTATTCCTTTTTACTAAATACAAATGTCCTATTTTTTATATGACAACGATTTCGCAAGTAGGTGTATGTTAAACAAATATCTAAAGGAACAATAAGAATCAGTATATATTTTAGTAAAAAAAAAGAAAAAGAAAGAAGGAAAGAAAAAAATCGCTGAGAAGCGATCGAGACGCGAATTGAACCTGCGGTCCTAAGTTTGACGCTATTCGYGTATAATATTTTGTGTTAAATCAAAATAATGGCTCGAAAATAATTATTAAACAAAATCTACAGAAATATT